CCAGATTCCTTTCTAATAAACGTAAACGTTCAGATAAAGATTAATAACCTTCTATAATTCATTCTTTTCCATTTACAATCCCCAGATCCTTGGACACTTATGGTATCAAAGCCAAGGGGTAGATAAAGATTAATAACCTTCTATATTTCATTCTTTTTCATTTACAATCCCCAGATCCTTAGACACTATATATATGTCTTCAAAATTTAAAAGGAATCCAGTTTGAAGCATTCAACCATCTAGCTGTCAGAGGAGGCATGAGGCATCACAGTTTGACTTGACTTTTGTCTGCATTTAGCAATTTGGGTGAACGAGTCAAAAGTCGGTAGATAGGAAGACTGGAAAGGGCATGGCAAGTGGTGGAGGAGGGTCATTGGAAAGTTGAAAAGCTTGTCTACTTCTAGCCATAATGTTTTTCCTGTTTATCTATGAATGATTTAAAGTCACCTTTCAGCAAAAGTTGGAGATATCAAGAAGTCACCAACTTATCACCCTGCTTTCTCTCGTCTCAGTTCTGCATCTGCAGCCAAAGCAAAACATGGTTTGGTGGGAAGCAGTTCTCTCTCCGGCCCTGCAGGTGGTTTTTGACAAGTTAACGTCTGGAGACATCACAGAGTTTCTTCATCGCGCAAACATCGACGAATTCCTCCTTGAAAAGCTAAAGATTACATATTTTACAAATATTGCTGTACTTGATGATGCAGAGGAAAAGCAGTACGATAATCTGGCCATCGAGACCTGGCTAGACATGCTTAAAGAAACGACTTATGAAGCTGAGGACATATTGGATGTGTTGGCCACAGAAGCATTGAGATGCAAGTTGCAAGCCGGCTCTCAAAACATGGGGAATCAGGTGCGCAAATGGAACTTGGTACCTCCTTTTAGATCATTTGATGACACGATCAAGTCAAAGATAACGGAAATTGTCGATAAATTAGAATTCATTGCAAAACAAAAAGATTTGCTTGGACTAAAAGGTGAAGGTGGGAGGAAGTTTAGAATCATGCGAAGAATGCCAACAACTCCACTACTCGTTGAGTCTCGTGTTTTTGGTAGGGATGATGACAAAGAAGAAATAATTAGGTTACTTTTGGACAGTGACAGTGAAAGGCAAACTAGTGAGTTCTCTGTAGTCCCTCTCTTGGGGATGGGTGGAATTGGTAAGACTCTGCTTGCTCAATTTGTCTTCAATGACAGAAGGGTGGATGAGTTTTTTGATGTGAAAGCATGGGCCTGTGTGTCGGATCAATTTGATATGGTAAGGGTAACAAAGGCGATTCTTGAATCGGCCACTCATAAGTCATGGGAAACCATGAACTTGGAGCTACTGCAGAATAGCTTAGCAAAGGAGCTAAGCAAAAAGAAGTTTTTCGTCGTCTTAGATGATTTATGGGATGACAACTATGAGAATTGGCATGAGCTGATGTTACCTTTCCTTGCTGGTGCTCGTGGAAGTAAAATAATGGTCACAACACGCAATGAAGCTGCTTTGTCATTTATGAATGCCTGCGCGCCTTATCGTCTCAGGGAATTGTCAGACGATGCTTGTTGGTCATTGTTTTCTCGACATGCTTTTCCAAATGCTGACTCAGGAACTCATCATCAGCTGGAAGTTATCGGTAGAGAAATCGTGAAGAAGTGCAGAGGCGTGCCTTTGGCTGCAAAATCTTTGGTAAGCCTTCTTGGCTCTAAGTTAGGGATTGACCACTGGCAAGAGATCTTGAATAGTAATCTCTGGGATTTGCCAACCAGAAGAAATGGCATACTTCCTGCTCTGCAGTTGAGCTATCATCACCTTCCTGCAAATCTAAAGCGATGTTTTGCATATTGTTCATTATTCCCGAAGGACTATAAATATGACAAAGACAAGCTAGTCTTGCTATGGATGGCCGAAGGGTTTGTTCAGCAAGGAGAAGATGATAAAAGAATGGAAGATCTAGGTGGAGATTACTTTAATGATCTATTATCAAGATCATTTTTCCAGGAGTCAACTGCGGATAAATCACGGTACATCATGCATGACCTGATTAATAATTTGGCTCAGCTAGTGTCAAGAAAGATGCGCCTAAGCTTTGAGAGTAGATCAGCGCTCCAAAAGCCAACTGGTTTTTTGGGAAAGGCTCGTCACTTCTCCTATCCTCGTGGTAGATACGACGTGTATAAGAAATTCGAATCATTAATTGAAGTTGAGTGGTTACGGACATTCCTGCCATTGTCTCCATATGAGACCGGATTTTGTTACTTAAGCAATAAGGTGGTCACAGATCTTTTACCTAGGTTGAGATGCCTGAGGGTGCTTTCTTTGAGTGGCTATTGCATCACTGAGCTACCCAACTCGATTGGTGATTTGAAAAATCTCCGTTACCTGAATCTCTCACACACTGCCATTAAATCTCTACCTCAATCTGTGTGTACTCTGTACAACCTACAAACATTGATGTTGAATGATTGTGATTCTCTTGAAGAGTTGCCTACAGATTTAACAGACCTAATTAACTTGCAGTATTTCGACATAAGTAGGAGTATAATACCGCGCATGCCTTCGCATATGAGTAGACTGAGAAATCTTCGCACTTTGCCTGAATTTGTTGTGGGCCCTAAAAGCGGTTCTGACATAGGAGAGTTACGCGATATGGTGCATCTCCATGGAGCACTTACCTTATCAAGGTTGGAGAACGTTGAAGATTTTTGGGATGCAAGGAAGGCCAATTTGACAAATAAGAAGCACCTGACCACTTTGACATTGGAATGGAGCAGCAACTTTGAATTACAAGACGAAATTGTCCAGATAACCGTCCTAGAGATGCTACAACCTCATTCGAAAGTAAAGAAGGTTGACATAAGATGGTATGGAGGCACAAGGTTTTCGTCTTGGTTGGGGGACCCTTCCTTCTCCAAGATGGTGTTTCTCAGCCTCACAGATTGTCGAAGATGCGTGTTCTTACCCCCATTGGCTCAGCTATCCTCGCTGAAACATCTCCACGTCAAGGGACTTTATGCTGTGAAGAGTGTCGGTCTGGAATTTTTTGGGTATGCCTTATCTCGTGGCAAGCCTTTTCCCTCGCTGGAGACTCTTATTTTCAGAGACATGTTGGAGTGGGAGGACTGGTCTTGTTCTCTAGATGATAAAGGAATTGCAGCTTTCCCGAGCCTTCGCGAGCTTTATATCGAGAGATGTCAGAATCTAAGGGGAAAACTACCCGACCATCTTCCTTGCTTGGAGAAACTTGTGATTCATGAATGCAAGCAGTGGGCATCTCCACTCCCAAGGCTTCCTCTGCTCCGTCAACTAGACATTAGAGGATGTGACGCGCTATCACTTGGAACCGCCCTCGATATGAGCTCACTTCTCTCCTTGCAAATTAGTGAGATCTCAAATTTCACTCATTTTAACGCTGGTCTGATGCAACATTTGACACAGCTCAAGCATTTAAATATCACGGGTTGCGCTGATCTTAACTATTTGTGCGGAGATGATGGCGGGTTTCAACAGTTGACTTCTCTTCGGAGAATGGTAATTCGCAATTGTCCACAATTGATTGCTTTGACCAAGAAAGAGCAACATCTTCCGAAGGACATTGAGTATTTGGAGTTCGAGCGTTGTCATAGTCTGCAGACACTACCAACCGCGCTTCACAGTCTCACATCTCTTCAAGAGTTGACGATCAAGGACTGCCCTGCAATTATATCATTCACCGAGACAAATGTTCCGTCCATGCTAAGGGGACTGGCAATTCGCGGATGCAATCTGGAGTCCCTACCTAAAGGGATAATTTGTAACAGGCATACATCGCTCGAGTATCTGTACATAAGCGGATGCTATTCCCTCACCTCCTTTCCGAGTGCAAGTGAACTCATTCCCACCTCTTTCCGGCAGTTGTCTATTGACCTTTGTCCGGATTTGGAGTCGCTTCCTGATGGAATAATGCTACGGGACAACGTGTTTCTCAAGGTCTTGGAGATCTTCGACTGCTCCTCTCTTATATCCTTCCCGAGTGGCCAATTACCGCTCACACTGAAGACGCTGACCGTCTGTAGTTGTTCGAATCTGGAGTCAATAGCCGACATCCTAAGTCAAGATGGCGAAAGGGTTCTCGAATCTTTTCGTGTCAGCAACTGCACTAGTCTCAAGTCCTTACCCAATGGCCTGCACAAACTCGCTTTTCTTGATTATCTGGAAATCGAACAGTGTCCGAGTCTGACATCCTTCCCTGAAGGAGGACTTCCCATGGCCAATCTCAAAAGGTTCCATGTCATGAGCTGCGAGAACCTCAGGGCATTGCCCGAGCAAATGCAGAATCTGACTGCTCTTCAGGAACTATGCATTTCAGACTGTCCAGGAATCGAGTCCTTCCCAGAAGGCGGTTTGCCCATCAACCTAGTATCCCTAGAGATCAAAGATTGCAAGAGCATTAGCCCCCTGACCGACTGGGGCTTGCATAGACTGAACTCGCTCGACAAATTATCAGTAACTGGTGGATGCTCGACTCCTTCGACTTTCCCCGAGTGGATGCTTCCTCCCACTCTCACCAGCCTTCACCTGGGAAGGCTCCCGAACCTCGAGTTTCGAACTAACTGGTTGCAGAACCTGACATCCCTGGAAGATCTTAGGCTTAAAGATTGTCGGAAGCTCCACTCTTTGCCTGTCGAGGGGCTTCCCGCCACTCTCTCTCGCCTGGAGGTCAGCGGTTGCCCCCTGATCGAGCAACAATGCGAAAGAGAATGGACAAAGATCGACCACATCCCGTGCATACTAATGTAGACTCCGCCGCGAAAAACTGATGCCAGCATAAACAATGAAGCTCCACGGTTTTTGCACTCCCGAAGCAATCATACGAGCGAACTGAGGTGTTGATTCAGCCCATCTCTTTTTCTTGTTCAAGAAGGGCACTGTGTATTTTGGGTAGTTGCTAGTCAGTCAGTCAGTACCGGAAGTGGTAAGCTAAATGTCTTGCTTTTGCTTGCGGCCTTTACACAGATCATGTGGAACGGCGTCGGGCATGGTCAGGGTCAGTTTGGTAAAATGCCATCGCGGCGCGCGCGCTGTGAAAAACGAAGAAAGGCGAAGGGATAAGGCGACACGCCATGGCGAGTCTCCTCCCCTGCTTCAACTGCCGCTCCCCCTCCCGCCCCCTCCCCGCCGCACGCGCGCGGGTCTCGCCGCCGGTCGGGCTCCCGGCGGGGCGGCACCCCGCCGCCGCCTCGGCGGCTTCGTCGGCGGCGGCGGCGGCGGCAGGGGCGTACGGCTGGTGGCCCGCGCCGGCCCGAGCGCGAGCAGCTACGTGTTCGCTTTCGTGTTCCCGCTCTCCCTCCTCGTCGTCACCGTCTTCGCCTCCATAAAGATCGCCGATAAGCTCGACAGGGACTTCCTCGAGGAGGTTAGATATCTCCATCTTCTTCCTCGATTCTTAACCTCGTTTTTCTCCGGATTTCCTGCTGTTCTTTTTTCCCGGTTTTGTGGAGGGGTGATGACATTCGATACAGCATCAAAGGCGATGCTTGTTCTTCGCTCGATTGTTGAAGTACTTGTGTACAGTATGAGAGAATCAGTGTGTTAAAAATGGTAAATTTTGTTAATTGGCTTAACAAGTGACCTCGAGGAGCATCATTCTCTAAGCTTAATTATTTGAAGCCCGCTTTGGAGTTCGATTTCCAAGGTATGAAATCCGCTTTCTGAAATCGCGAATCCTGTGAGTAAAATCTTGGCCTTTCGGGGTGCGGTGTCCCTTGAAGCTTGTTGTGTTTTAACTAGTGTAAGACTGCAGTTTGCACAAATACATGTATGTAACTTTCAGATTTTCTCTAATATTTGAGAGCTGGTAGGATGCTGATGGATGACATCCATTTCTTGTAGAGAATTGGAAACAGAAGATTTTCTCTTCTTGCAGTGTAAAATTCAATGGGCAATTCGAGTTTGCTAGGGAATGGCGCAACTCTTGTTTCTTATCTTTTAGCTTTAGCTGATTAGTTGACGGCTTTGCGCCGCTTGCCACGAGGATGCAATGTTACCTGCATGACAAAACTCCTCACTCTTCTTTGTTTGGCAGATATTCTAGTCATTCATAGCTAAGTCTGCTGTATTCTAAGAGCACGAGTATTGCTATCACCTTGATTTGCATGTCGAAGGACAGTAAGTTGCCAGCTAAGAAAAGGACCGATAAGGATACACTGTAGTTTGTGAAATGAGCGACATAGTCTGCTTTCCTTTTCTCTGTTGTGAGTTTGTGACCTCAAGATAGAGAAGTTCTTCTTTGCAGACAGGGTTGCGTACGAACACCGTGCTATTTTCTCATCTGTGCTCTCGTTACTGTTTGGATGTTTGTCTGCTTGCTTCTGTATGGTAATAGCAATAGGAATCATACCTCTCTCAGATTTTTGGAGAAGCCTCAGATGAAATTTTTGCCTTTACAATTTTAATGCCAGATAAAGTCTGCGACCACTTCTTTCTTCCATGTTTTTAGATGGTTCTTTTTCCTTGTACTGGGTATTTTTTGCATTTGCCTTCATGCGAATGCACGCTTGCATTACGTAGAAATGTGGGTTTTCATATCTTTGATGGTTGGAGACCAGCATGCTGATTTGATCTGCCACTTGGAACAAACCATTCAAAGAACTTGTTGTTTAGATAGTCTGTCGATGTTTCTACCTGTTTGTGAAGAGGGTCACCCTAGCGTAACAGATTTTACATTTCTCTAATCCAGCTTGCAATTAATCAAGCAATAAAGGATGCGGATGAAGGTGATGATGCTGAGGTCTCTTTAGAAGAGAAACCTGTTCTTTCCCGCACTCGCAACCGGCCAAAACGAGAAGCGTAGGCTGCAGCAGCCTTGTGTGTAGTTTTGACTTTAGTTGAGAGACCAACACACCATTGGGAAGACCAATCTGAAGAGAGCAGTGGCATGCTTGTAGTTTCATGTGATTCATCTTGGCTTTGAATGTGTGTAATTTGGGTTCGATAGAATGCACAGGCTTGGTATATTTCTTGAGGATAATGTGATGGGATTTGAAATGACTTATTAGGAAAAAGATAAATCAGATCACTGCAATCCGAATGTAATTGATTGAACTGCAACTTTAGTATATATGGGTTAAATATGGGCTTATAACCCATTTTGCAGGTGGTGCCAGTTTTTAAAGAGTTTTAGCAGTTTTAGTGGAGGCAATCTTTGTTTTAGGCACTTCTTGCATCTTAGTTCCTCTCTATGAACACCATTTTAATATATCAACATAGGAATGGCCGTCATTTCTTATATACATAATTCTGATTCGGCCGTAACATGGATTCATTTCGAAAATTGGTGTTCTCACATGATTCGATGCCGATGAACTGAATTTTTTTTCTTGGTACATGACATATGTGGAACATTTCTCTTTAGTTGGGCAAAGTTTCGAATTAAAAATCCCAACCTATTTCCTGGATGGGAGAGAGCATTTTCAATCAAACCTAGAACGAGACTGTCAGGGACTAGTACATCGGAAAACAATAGTGAGGAAGTTTTACAAACCTGAGCCACAACAAGAGGCATCTCAAGTACGCTGTTCGCACCGGGAATGTCATAGACCAGCTTCCCGAGTCTCTCTGGATCGGGCCTTGTCATGTCCCCAAGCTCTTGCAACACGCGATTCACTTCGGCCCTGACAAAAACTGTATCTTCTCCATTGCAATGTACCATAAGCCTTCTTTCAGAGCTAATTGCAAGCTGACCTGCAAGAGGGTAGTAATGCCCAAGAACCTTTGGCAATGCGGTCTTGATCGCTTCACCAGCCAGTTCATCACGTTCTGGTTCAACTTGAAGTAATAGACAGTTCGGACTATGGAAGCAAGGACGATGTCTCGGCTTCGTAAGGAAGTATTGTCCTTTCATAGTTACTTCTGCAGGAGAAATCGGTGATTGCTCACCTTGCTTCATACCCAGTTGATTGGAAGAGCAGTTCTCCATCAAAAAAAAGTTCTTCAAGGCTTCAACTTTATCCAGAACCTGATGCACAACTTCAATAAACAAGATCAATGGTCTATGCACAGGAATATGTGTACCGTGCTACTTTCTCAGTCTACGCACTTGTTATACATATTTTCCTTCATCCAGAAGAGCACTTACATTACGAGAATTGTGGATTTTTCCGTATCTGTGATGGTCAGAGACTGGCATGTGTGGATTTGGTCTGTCAATTGGAACAAACCATACAGAAAACTTGCACATTAGATAGTCTGATGGATGTCTCTAACTGTGTTTGTCAAAGGGACTCACCTTTGCATAACGGAATTTATGTTACGACTAATCAAGCAATGAAGGACAAGGATGAAGGCGACACGCTGAGGTCTCTTTAGAAGAGAAGCCTGTTATTTCCCACACTCACGGCGGTCTGGAACAAGAAGTGTAAACTGCAGCTAATTTTGACTGTACTTGAGAGATTGAAACACACCATGGCGAAAACCAATTTTAAGAGAGCTGTAGCGTGCTTATAGTTTCATGTGATTCTATCTTGGCTCTGAATGTTTGCAGCATGGATTCTATAGTTTCATTTGTCTGTATTCATGTTTGATAGGATGCGCGAAAGAAAAGAATTTGCGATATTCCTTAAAGATAATATGACACGATGCAAATGACTTCTCAGTAAAGAGGTCAATTAAATCACTGCAAACCAAATGTAATCGATTAGTCTGCAATGGGAACGACCTGAATGTCAACTTCACCAGTCATCATTGTTCCACATTGCAGTGTTGCTCATCCACCAAATTGATCTTTCACACACATTAGACTAGTTCATGAGATGGGTTAATTGCTAATAAATCACTAAACATCACCTTTATTTATTGATCCTTATGCACCCTACAAAAGGAATACCAAAGGATTTACTTTGCAAATGTCTCAAAGCAGATCCATAAGAAATCACATCAAAAATTTAAGATCGAATGCAGAAAATAACAGCATCAAGTGAAAGGGTCTTAGCCTTTCCTATATCTGCATCATCTCCTCCTGGAAAATCTTCATAGCAGCGGCAGGCAAACCTAGAACTACACTGATGCCTTTCGGATCCTTCCCATGAGGAAGGAACAACATAACTTCTTTCTCAGGCAAGTTCACGGGCCCCGAAATAAGCGGTTCTCCCCAGCCAAAATCTATCTTATGAAATGACAACCTTGACCAGGTACTAATCAAGACGGTGCATGCAAGGAAGGTCGCGATCGTTTTGTTTCAAAGTAATCAATGGTCGACCTGACATAACTCTCAGTGATCATCTTGATTGCATCTTGAATTAGCCCCACAGTGAACGATAGTGGCTTCTCCACAATTTCACCTGCCCGGCGGATCAAATGTGCTAACATTATTCCATTTCCAAAATACCCTTTCGGAAGTGGGGGATCAAATTTGGCACGCATGTCGACAGCGAATAGCAGCTTGGTTTGTCGGTCAGGCAGCATACTGAGTGCTTTGGTTCTAGCAATCCATAAAAATGCAGAGAGTTTCGGAAGTGGTGCATTTCTTCAATAGTCCATCTCCCATTGCCTAGGCCTTTAATTTCTCGATCTTGTCAGCATCGAAGCAGAAGGAATTATACAGCAGCTCATTATTCGGAGTTAGACCTGTCTTCGATTTCAGCGAGTTCCTGGTGTGGGTATTCAACCTTTGGCGGGTTCCTGGATTTGAGAATGGTTCTGCCCAGGAATGGTGGGATCGATAGAGGCAAGCCCCTCGCTGTTTCAGCCCATGAATTGACGAATTCCATTGCCACAATCCCATCAAACATGCAATGGTTCATGCACAGCCCCAGAGTGAATCCTCCGCATTTGAACTTTGTCACCTGTTGGATATGAAAATCAGAACTCGAAGTTTTCGTGAATTACCTTCAAAATCCAATCCTATCTGGAGTATATGAGTCTTGTTTAAGAGATGATGCATACACAAATGCACATGCTCTCCTGCAGATAAGGGAAACAGCTGAATGTCTAACACTTAATGGCAGAGTGAACATTCTTGGAGGGATCTTTGTATCAAGTCGAGTCTGGGTACCTCGTCTCAATCATATCCTAGCCATGATACAGTAATACTCCGCGACAAGATGCGCATAGTTGCACTACAAGACTCAAAACTAGCAAATGCTTGGACAAGAACATTTTCAATAAAACACAGACTGACATTGTAGGGACAGGTATCAGAAAACAATAGTGAGGAAAGTTTCACAAACTTGAGCCACAACAAGAGGCATCTCAAGTATGCTGTTTGCACCAGGAATGCCATAGACCAACTTCCCAAGTCTCTCAGGATCGGGCTTTGTCATGTCCCCAAGCTCACTCAGCGTGCAATTTGCTTCGGCCACAACAAAGACTGCACCTTCTCCTTTGCAATCCACCATCAGCCTCCCTTCAGAGCTGATGGTGAGCCTCCCTGCAAGAGGGTAGTAATGCACAAGAACCTTTGCCAATGCATTCTTGATCACCTCACCAGCCTGTTCGTTCCTTTTTCCATTTGACTTGAAGCAATAGATGGTTCGGACTACTGAAATGAGGACAATGTCCCAGTTTGTGAGGAAGTACAGTCCTCTCTTTGTTTCTTCTGCAGGAGAAATGAGTATTGGCTCACCTTGCTTTATACCAAGTTGAAGCACTTGGCCACTGGAGTAATAATTCTCCATCAAAGAAGAATGTTTAGGCTAATTTCAGAAACTAAGGCACAAGCTCAATAAACAAGATGGGATCATATATAGTTTAGAACTTGGCATTGTTCATCTTGACGTAAAAAGAATGTGATTTGAATGAATTATGGGTATGAATGCGTAGAACAATGCTAAGAAAAAGTCTGACCATGTGAAAGGTTCGAGACAGATCCATAAGAACTTCTTTTATGTTTTTTTCCCTTTTTCCGAAAAAAAAAGAGGCACCCAAGATTAGTGTTCCTTTTACGCTACCTCACTTCACCGCAAGAGGTTGATATATCTGGACAATGGATCAATAATTTGTTGGATTAGCAACGTAATTTCATGCATTTGTGATATTAAATTGGGCAATCCAAATGTGATATACATGAAAAAGGAGATGAATGATTTCTTTCGTGAAGCCATCTTGACATTGATTTTCTTCCACTGTTATCTTATTTTACTCTAATTGCTTCTTTCATGAATATAATTCCTTGCTATGATTCCTTGGAGTTGAAAACTCTTGTTTCGGGCACGGCATGAAGGATTCTGAATGACTGGGAAAACCTGTTATTTCTTTCCTCATAACATGTCCATCTTGACATTGGTTTTCTTCCAGTGTTATCTTATTTTATTATAATTACTTCTTTCATGAATATAATTCCTTGCTATGATTCCATGGAGTTGAAGAACTCTTGTTTCAGGCACGGCATGATAGATTCTGAATGACTGGGAAAACCTGATATTCAAACTTTCTATGCAAATTTTCAAACTACTTTCTCTGTTTTCTTCAGGTCATGTGGTTGGAGTTGGTCATGACAAATGAGATATCTCTAGGAGTTTTGCAGAGGCAGTCCATTTTGAGAGGCTATCTCATGAACCCAACAACAGTTTTATGATGGTATCAAAGCCTATCCATGTTTATAGAACTAACGATGTGTTCTATAATTAAATTTCATAAATTGGGTGCTTTTTTCCAGGAAATATGTAAACCTTGATTGGCTCGCCACATCGCGGTCCCTTGACATGGTGAAATTGCCCCCATTGAATCCAGCTTTGATTCATTCGGGCCGCCCATACCGAATTCACTCACCGATGCATTCTGACCTCATTTACTTTTTACTCCAGCATGATGTGAATCCTCGAATTTAAATATCTTCCTATTTTAATCTAATAAGCAACAATAGATGTGAATGAACCCGGATCTTAGATCTATATGTTTATTTTTCTAATGTCGATAATGCTCTTTTTTTTTATTTTTTCAAGTTGTTGGATTGACTACTAACCAAGGCGGCAAATGAACAAGTTGCTCGACTCCTCCAAATTTGAAGATCTCTTGTTCCCACATCAAAATGCTAGTGAGTAATAGTAGCCACATCAAAATCCTGGCTTTCATTGATGGACAAAGCCAGTAAGCATATATGTTCAGGCACTTAGTACATACCAAGATTAATAGGGCAAAACCAAAGAACATTGTCAGTGATGGAAATGATTCTCCTGCTTATATATCTTTACTTCTGTTGAAACAACAACAGTTCGAAGCACTGTATACAGAAACTTTTCTGTTGCAACAAGCAACTTTCTACTACTAAAACATGGATAAAACCATCAGTCCTTGAAGAGCCCATCAAAATTGGACGTGCAATTCACAGTTCCAAAAAAAAAAAACGAATGAATATAATTCCTGATTGCACAAATCTCTAACTTGGGACTCTCTATACAAACAACTTCATGAAACCAAAGATTCCAAAAAGCAGTAACCCACACCAAAAAACGGCTATAGATTACTGAAGTGCGAAACTGACCCTCTTGTTATCTCTATCGCTGCTCCAATATTGATTAGCTTGTTTATTGTCCCCCTGGAACCCAGGGCTCCTGTACCTTGACGTGTGCTGATGAGAACTTCCCCTCTTGCGTGAGCCCTCTCCATCTCTAGGAACCCAGGTCCTTCTGCTCCTTTTCCGTTCATCCTTGTGCTCGTCCCAGTTTTTCCAACCCCTTGAAGTGGTGCGCACATTCTCTCTCCATCTTCCATCTTTTGAAGCTCTATCTTCTCTACTATGGCCATAGTCCATAGCATCAGGATTGGAACCAAACTTCCTTGACTTTGCAGCATTCCAGTCTGCAGAGTTAAGGGCAGTTTTGGCCCATTTCTCATCGTTCTCAGAATTCCCACTGTTCAGCTGATTAGAATTGCCTCCCCACTGGTTCCAACCTGATAAGTTGACCCCGTCGGCCCACACATTTTCTTTCCTCACCCTATTGCCCTGAGAGTAGCTTTGTTCCCATGGATTGTCATCACTATGCAGATGTCCTGGTTCACAAATTTCATTATCCCATGAGTTTGTGCTCCATGCTGAATTCTTCACATCCTCGCCATGATGTAAATTGTTTATTTCCCAAGGATTTTCGATGTTTTTTGGATTAACATCACATCTATCAGATGGTGAGCCAACTAGGTTCCCGATCCTTTTCTTTTTACTCGCCATCTCTTCGTCTTCTTCAACATCGTCCGGATTAAAATACTGCTTATCAAGGTCCTTGATAAGTTCTGGGTCAATGGCCTGATTCCAATTTATCTCGTCCATATAAATATCTGGATCAGGCGGAGAGATATCACAAGGGAGACCATTGATCTCTGCCCAAAACCGTTTCTTGGCATTTTGGAATGCCTCTTCAGCAGCGGAATCATCCCAGTGGAAGATATTGTCATGGTAGTTCAGAAGCATCTTCGAATAAACAATCTTCCCCCATGAAATTGTTCCGACCAGTCTACAGAATCTCCTCTCCCATGAAGGCACGTTATCTTGCCAAACAGCATTAAAAAATTAAACCAATTGGTGAGAAGCCATAACATTAAAATATTAAACCAATTGGTAAGAAGCCATAAAAGCTATGAAGAATCAGATTCTAGAGGATTGCTAACAAGCAATCTTCTAAAAACAGAACCCAAGAAAATAAAAGAGATGGCTATAGAATATTGTTTCAGTTGTTTGGAAATATATTACAAAGCATACTGCAGGACTTTTGGAACGTAAAAAGCGTTTCCAATCAATCTACCAAGTACAGCATGCTGCTGTTATATGATTGCAGGGCATTTCTGCAATACCGAGTGCACATAAGAATTCACTATTAGAATCCAATCTAAAAGAGACACTTCAATTAACTTCTACTCCAAAAACTATCTGCTAGCTTTCTTCCTTTTTCTTTAACAATGTACATAACCACGAAAATCCTCTATCAAGATCAAAGAACATAGTTAATTGAGGCAAGGGGGATAAGTAGTACTAAAAAATCAAACAGCCATTTTATATTTCTTTACTAATCAGAGAACCTGCACCAACTCGCTTTTGTGAGTCTCAAACACGAGAAAAGAAAGACTTTCCCTCACCACAATACACTACTCAATCGCATGCATATGAGGAATTCAACTGTAAGAAATAGAGACAATATGATCAACAATTCCGAACTGCGCTACAGGAAGTTTATTCACAAATGCCAGACAGGAGTAACTCAAAACAGTGAGATTTAGCCATCATGATTGTCCATATGGTAGATAGATCAAGCCTATTAAGTAAAACCAGCAATGTCCACTGGCTGTAGAAACCACTGGAGAGGAGACGAGAGTGCACAGGTGTTTCTCTTGCCACACGCATTCTCTATAAGCAGCACTATCTTTGGACAGACAAATAACTTGCACTCGCAAAAACTTGAACAAGTTGAACTTCAGGATCACACCATAGCTAAAACTAACATCACAAAAGAGCCTTTTGAAACCTCAGTTCTCGAGACACAATCACGAGGAAAATGAATTGGCGCAATCTATCGAGAGGAATGTATGCATAACATAATCAAACCCCAATGCCTGTCTCATTCCACCACCCAAAATTACAACACTTTCCTTTGCCAAAACTATGAAGTGGGAGCACATATAGCTACATATACATAAAGACGGCAACCATAAAGAATTTTAGTTGACAAAGCAATTTTTCACAACATTGAAAACACTAAATTCATTTTCGTTGGCAATGCAACTGAACAACACCAGCTCCACAAGCAAAATGACCCACATTTCGGAATAAGAACCGAAACCACCACCATACACAAAGGAGTCACCTAAATCTGATCATGAACAGTTAACAAGTTCCTCAAATGAAGAATTCCTCGCACAGATAAGCAACAAGAGCCTCAATTCTCTCCTAGCATAATCAGTAAAAACATTAGGAATTGAAAGACAGAGAAGTTGGGTCAATCCAAAAATCGAGAGAAAAGAAATCTTGCCCCACACAGAGATCATGATCGAAGAGCAACCCAGTAATGTTAAGCTAGTTTCTTACCCTCCTTTCCAAGAAGACATCCAAAGGCGATTCAGACGACGCAACCAACACACACCCAAGAGGGAAAAAGAACAAAAGGATTCTTGCGTTCTCTTCCGCAATGTACCTGGAGTGGATTGGTCGTGGTAGGAACGGTGAGCGCCTTCTCGGTAAAGATAACGATAGGGGTGGTATTTCCTCCTAGGAGGGCGGTTTCTCCAACTGCCCATCGGACCCAGAAACTAAAGACGACCTCAAAGTTCACTGTTGCATAGAGAGAGCACCCTTCACTCCGGGTATCTGTCTCAGATAGAGAGAGAGAGAGAGAGAGAGAGGTTTGGTGTCGATCAGAAGCAAGGTCAAACGTGGTTACGTGGGCATGTGTAGCGTCAGTACTCGGAGTTGTTGGGGGGTTTTCCAAGCCTACGGCTTACAGAGCTAGTGGGCCTTAAAGGCGCTCCCTTTTCGCAGCTTCTTCCAGAGGTTAAAACGAAGACCCCTCTGGATGGAGAAGGTTCTTGCCGGATCGAAAGGATTAACCATTTCAGCTTTTCCTTTACTCATCTTTGTCTCAAAATACTCGAAAACGGTCATCTCAATGTCGCACGAGAAGAGATCGAACGTGAGATATCCTTATAATTAACTTTAGTTTGTCCAATCTTTAAATAACGTTCCTAATTTTCCTTTTTCTATAGTTCGGAGATCTTTGATAACGTACTGTTGGAGCTCGAATTATCGCATCCGATGTTTGTGACTTACATTATATCATATGACCGTTCATATCTGTTGTCAACCGTGTTCTCCTTACGCATAATTTGCTTAGGATAAAGATTTTCTCTTCTTTCATTTTGGGCAAGTGCTCAGATTTTTCTTTGCTTTATGGATGCATTCGAGAAATACATGAATGTTCTTTTTACCCCTTTTCAGGTCCCATGATTATATTGGCGCAAGCCTTTTTGTAAACAAAGTAAGAAAAAAACGAAGAAGCAGAAGAAGAAGAAGCAAATGGGCCCAGAAGCAGGAAGGGTTTGGGCCTAGACATGTATTGGCAGCCTCGTCCCAAAAAAAATATTAATTGAACTAAGTTGTGGCCCAATTTGAAGACAAATGGTCTTATAAGGCCCACCAACTGCCATTCAGCCTAGTTACTATATTGTCGGTAAATATAGTGTTATCCTTTTTCTCCATTTCGTTATTGACGAGAAAGCCGATAAAATACCTCACTAACCTCACTCATTCGGTGAGAGCATGCGAGAAAGCTCAAGTGGATAGGTCAAAGTTAGAATCATTTTTTTATGGGAATTGAATGTTACAGAGAATCGAACATGTGTCATACTTCGAGACCCATCTCTTTTTTCTCACCACTGAATCGGTTCGCGGACTAGAATCAGCTTTGATGATCCAAATTGCAAGATTCTGTCAATGAAAATATGCAAAAGCTTTTTTTTATCTGTTTTAGGATCTTTTACACATGGAGTACCGATATGTTTAGCCCCGATTTTGATTTTAATTAGGTAACGATCAGCTTGCTAAGTTATTATTGTTTCACATGTAAAGACCCAACTTCTCTCTTGCCCCGCCCTAACTCTCAACCATATGCAAAAAATTAGCATATCTTTCCGCATCAGGGAAGTGAAACTCCTTAGCCCCGTCAAAGAGAAGCAGCATTCGAAGGAATTGAACATGAAGCAGGAGAGATGATTAGAGCTTCCAAAAGGCTATAATCGGTATTTCAGTTACCGTCCTAGCAAAGCAAACGCTAATGGCAGATGTCTTATGTCATAAGTTTTTTGCAAACGTGGCAACTTTATTGGCTACTTAAAAGCTTATTCTCAATGATATGAAAAAGTCGGCACCGGAGGTATTGGTGAGATACAATCAACTATAAAATTATGTTTTTAAACCATGAAACATCGGTCTTTCTTATCGGCTCGGATCATAATTGGGGGTTTAGAACCATAAATTATTGCCCACAGATTTCGATATGATTAAAAAGATCATTATTCTGTTGATGGGGGTAAACATCGCATTATGTTGTTTTAGAGAATGCCAAAGTCCACACCAATCTCTCATTCGTGAAAGCAAAGGGTTGTCTCCCACCACGACCTGTAACCATCACAAAGTGTCCTCCTCACTCCCAACGCACGCATTTTCCTTTGGAATTAGACCTAACCCATCCACGACATGCACATGGTTTTGCTCCATGGAAATTGCAATAAACCACACTGAATTGACTGAGATAGATTGGTCAAGCACACTTGAGAAGAGGCAACTTCCGTCCAAAAAGTCATTCAACGAGCTGCCTTTATGTAATTGTTAGTGCTTTCTCTCGTTCTCCAAGATGGACTCGGCATTCTTGCTCCAACATAATGTCGAAAGCTAAAGACAACGCTGTTTGTGCTTGGAAATTTAATGCTTGTAGGTCACTCCCTCTTCATGCATGAACGCAGACTAAGAAATTGACACCATGTCTCTTTTGATGTAGGGAAAGCTTCGTGGTAGACCATCAGAAGTTAAAGTTCTGCAGAGACCCAGAACAGAACTCGTGCGCAAGTTCCATGTGGCAGTGAAAATGAGAAGCCATATAGTTATTGGTAGTAACTATCATTGAATTGGAGGAGAGCAGATTCATATGGTCACCACCCTTTTTCAAGGTACATTTTGGAAAGGGAATTTGCTCGTGTCAAAGGCACGCCATTAGGCAAGAAAAGTACGAGAAAACCAATGGGAATGGAAGCAACTATATGCCAACGAGTTCACAGTCCTTGAGATGTGGCCGAAGTATAGTTGGCTAATGAGTTCCTCTTGAATGGTAATCTTTGTGAGTTGGGTACTTCGAATTTCCTAGAAAAAAGCAATAGCTTCCTTCTAATTCCAATGGTGAACAAGATCTAATTCAACTTGGCATGCACCCCTCCCTCCTTCCGTCTCTGAGTCAAGAAAGCATTTTCCATGAGTAGGTTATGATAAATGTGACTTAAAGAATGAAGTCAAGAAAGAGGATTCGCTCTTGTGTCAATGGCACGCCATTAGGCAAGAAAAGTACTAAGAAACCAATGGAAGTGGAAGCAACTGTATGCCAATGAGTTCGCAGTTTCCGTGAGTAGTTTATGATAAATGTGACTCAAAAAATGAAGTCCAATTCTCCAGCTGCATCTCATCAGAAATAAAGATATCACAAGTGCCATAATTATCGTACGATACTCAATTGAGTATCATAACTTTTTTTTTTCTATCACTCGAGTGCCATGACTTCTTAAATTACGTTAACTCGAGTGCCATAATTTTTAAAAAAATGTTCACTCAAGTATCGGAAATCTGACGTGCCATGATACTTGTGATGAACATTATTAAAAAGTTATAATACTTAAGCGATCGATTAAAAAATTATATGACACTTAAGCGATCACCATACGAAAATTGTTGCGTCTGTGGTGTACTCATCTCCATCCCGTCACCATAAACACTGCGATGAGTGGGACTTGAGAGGGAACAAAAGCTGCATTATTTGGAGCAAGAAAGGGACTGTAGATGCGAACATCTTTCGGGGAGGTTCTCATATTGTTTGACCTCATAAATAGTGGACGAGAGAGGTTGGCGGATGGGAAAGAGAGGGTTGATAGGCACGCGGGAATAGAAAAGGATCACACACATTCTCCCATAAAGATATTCCCATTCGTTTTTTCTATCTCGTCGACACGTTCGCAACGAAGAATAGAATAGAATGTATATGCAAAGTATATGGTAATAAAGTGAAACTGGCACCTTCCAATGTTTGGTGGTGATGTAGAAATAATGTGGTCATCCAGAAAGCATTAGAATCAAATGTCAAATGTATCGTTAAATACACATGACAATAAGTGAGACTTTTTACCGAAATGCGTATTCCAGCTAAGAAAAATTTCACCAAACAAATGAAAATAATTAAAGATCGGAATTGAGATTTCATTTATGATTTGATTCGGCATACTTCATGGTAACTTTTATTTTAACTTTGACTTTTTGTGAATTTTGCAAACTAAACCCGATATACTTTAAGCTTTTCAAATATTCAAACAACAACATGTACAATTTTATATAGTAAAGATATTCTTTCGAAGCTTGAACAATATTTTTTTCATTTTCAAAATTCGAAGGAAAGGTAGGAGTAGAGGTAAAAAGAAATGCCCCAAATAAGAAGTCGATGTGGCTTATTCTAACTGTTCATGCTCAAAGTACACATTTTTTATGCGAGGAAGCTTATCTTATTATCTTGAATGGATTTTCGTAACCTAAAGGTTTGAATAAAATGGATTTTCATTAGTCTCTCATGTGGATTGAACTCTTTTGCCAATTCTTTTGTTCACCCTTTTGCAAAATCTAGAAGATTGCTTCATGGATGGGGTTTGCGAGGTTTCTTTGAGAATGGGTATGAAGTGGTATCTCATGTACGTTTTTTTGGGTCAGATACTTCATGTACTTAGGAAGTGGGTTGACCTCTTTAGTTAAAGTTCAAACACCACTAATCACATCCACATTTAATCATAGTATAATAGTCCTAGGGCATAAAGAAATGATTCTTGATTCATCTTAAAAAAATGTGATTAGTGCAATTCACTTGAAAAGCAAAAGATGCACTGTCCACGGCACAAGATCTGCTTTTGACGTCAACGTATTCGTGGTCTGCTTCCCCCGTTCCAATGCCTTTGCATTTGCCATCCTTGGTAAGCAAGCAACTTCATGGAAGGAAACCCCTTTTTCTTCTTCCTCTTTAGCTTGGCCTTAATGGAATTTGTCATCCCAAGAGGGGAGATTTACAGTCCCACCAGAAAGATGGGGTAGGGACACACTAATCTTGTATCCTATCATGTTTGCTTTGTTTTCTTACAATTTTCGGACAGCTGGATCTTTTCCTCGAAGAGACACTCGCGCACGCGGACGCTTGCATGCATGCATTCGGTTTGCCATGGCGACTACAGATGATGTGCGCATAATAAATGGTCCATCTAAAGTAATGTTTTCCACAAACATAAAACCTTCATTTCCATAACGTATATCGTCGGATGTGACCTGATTGAACTAGGATTGCTTTAACCTGTTTCGTGATTAGCTAACTGTTCATGTATTTTGAGTTGATACGAATATATGTTGATCCATTTCGAATTCGAAATCAAGCACCGCCATAACAAGAAAGGTAATTTCCTTTCCTTCCCCTTGTGGTCAAAGAAGGACCCCAAATCGCATCGTTGGATTATACCCTGAGGACGGATCTTTCTGTTGCATGTCATGAGTGATCCGTGCTTCGACAACAGAGATAGATCACGACAAACATGTTTAAAACACGAACAAGGAAAAGTTCAAGCTTTCAAAGATTTCACAGCACAAATGAGAGAGGACAATCAGACATTGATTAGGGTCGAATAAAGAGATGGATAGGGAACATGATAAGAACGCTTTCATCTCTAACCCAAAATTGTTTTTTCTCAGCACTCTCCAAATCAATTCTGCGCCCTACCCACCCTTCTAACTCCCATTACTTCATTATCACCATAATCCTGATCAAAATCGAACCGACATCACACGCGGCACAGGACTAAATGACCTTTTGGATCTAATGGCCCTCAAAACGACGCTAGACGACGCGTTATCTTTGTATCTTGATCCGCCCAATCGAGTGGCTCGCATCGCGATTGACATGGCACATTGGTGTCGGTTTGATTTGATGATTTGATGAGGCGTGTTTTTTGAAAAGGCTCGATGGAGCCCCCTTGGTTCGCCGCCCCTTCCATTCACTAATGACAATTGGATTGGTATTAGTTTCTAATGGTTTAGACTTCATGACCCTTTTTAGGTTCCACAAACATGGCATTATGGAGACATTAGGCCCACGAATGGGCCAACCCTAGTACGTGCAAGGAGATGCTCCAACAAAATAATTACTCTTAGGAAACAGATCTAGGATTTAAATATTATGGTCGGTCTCCTTCTAGAAAGCATGCAATCACAATTAGGTTTTTCACCACAAACAAGGGGGGAAGACTATGTTCCAAGTTCACACCTAGACACCATGATGGCCCATTACCCCTCCTAAAGAGAATATGAGAGCGCCATGTCCACTCCATAGTATTACTTTGATTATTTAAAACCTAATGAAAGGTGAGTCCAGATTTGGACAGTCCACAATAATTAACCGTTAAATTTCCATGATCCTAGTGAAGATGAAACCTCATTTGGACGCATTAACCTGCTACGGAACGGAAGGAATCGTCGTGTACAGAGAGAAGTCATCCAAGTTTTTGTCAAAAGTGCATCAATAGAGAGAAACCCATCAGTGCAGCAATGGAGAGAAAAAAACAGATACATACCAGTTGATCAGTACTTGTCTATGCTCAATATTAAGCCCTCCCCACCAATATGGACATATCAACACCGCAATCAGACAAAGATTAAGAGGAAAAGAGAATATTTCAAGGAGCTAAACTGCATACTACCATCACGATTCACGAACATCTACTTTTACCAAACAAAAAGAAGAGGTCAGGTGCATTTAGACATGTAACAAGAGAATCATTCATAACTTCAGACATTTGTGAAGTGAGCCTTCTAAAAGGCAAAGAGGAAGGGCATAGGGAAAATAGGGAACTGTACTTACAAGCCGTTTCACTCTCTTCTCCTTCTTTTTCCAGACCATAGCATTGGGCCCCATTCAGGTCCCAGGCACAACCAATCATATCCCTTCACCCCACAAAGCCCACAGCCATTAGAAAATTCACGTGCCGGTCGGACCCATGGACCTCCCACAGTGGTCATCCCACAAGCTTGCAAAAAGAATCATGGAAGGCCCCGGCAGTCTCTGTCATCAGATCTGCAATTAGATACGCAATTTTTACACTAGGACAACAATAGGATTCAGAAAGAACGAACAACTCATCACACATCGTACATATGAATAAAGACTTGACTGGGGGGGGTACCTGTCAGCTGGAACAGAGGAATGCTAATTCCATCCCAAGCTTATTTTTTGCTATAAATGGCAAATGTATCCTTAACATGATTAACAAGAAACTATAGGAGATAAAACCCCTTTGATGCAAAAGGTGATGATGGGGTCACAACTGTTTGAGAAAGGGAAAAGATTTGTAAGATCTTCCTTTCTTGCGACTTTTTCCTCCTCAACTTGGCTTATTTGTGATGGCTTCTCTCATAAATGAACGCCCCCAAAAAAGAAGAGCTAAAAGCAAGCTCCTAAGACTCTCCCACTCAAGTCGGCAGTCTTCATACGTATTCTTGCCAATGTTGATAGGTTGACTCTGCCACCAAATCTCCTCCCTTTAAATTCCAGCCTTCGACCATTCTTTCCTGCCTTGGTTCTGCTGAACCTCTCCTTTGTTCTTTCTCACGACAAACAATATATATGGAAGTAAAAGTCTTCCATCTTCCACTGCTTCTGACTCGTCCAATGAGAAAAATGAGAAAGCCGGCAGCAAGTTCCCCCCAGCCAAAGAACTTTCTTGTAATAAGAAGCTTCTTGCTCTTATTACTGAGCTGTATAGCTGCTAAACTGAGCCTTTGCTTTTCGAATATCCCCTCTTCACTACTAACGCTCTCCCTTGATGGGCATCTCAATTTTGATGAAGTCCAGCATGTGGCCAAAGATTTCGGCAATCAATACCAGTTGCTGCCTTCTGCAGTATTGCACCCCAAGACGGTTATGGATATTGCCATCACCATTAAGCATATCTGGCAAATGGGCCCTCACTCCGAACTCACCGTTGCAGCCAGAGGCCATGGTCATTCACTTCAGGGTCAGGCACAAGCCTACCGAGGTGTTGTGGTCAATATGAAATGTCTTCAGAGCCCAATAATGCAGGTCCATGGGGGGAAATTCCCGTATGTTGACGTTTCCGGTGGAGAGTTGTGGATAAACATACTGCGTGAGAGCATGAAATACGGTTTAGCACCAAAATCATGGACAGACTACTTACATCTAACGGTTGGCGGTACTCTGTCAAATGCCGGGATCAGTGGGCAAGCATTTCGACATGGACCCCAGATTAGTAATGTCCATCAGCTGGAGGTTATTACAGGTACTACTGATGCAAAAGTTAATGAAACAAACGGCCAACATACTTCATCATCATATATAAGATGAGGGTCAATATACCGCCATGAACACAAAGATGGAGAAATGATACAAAAAATCATCTCGGCCTTTGTTTGCCAAACGCCACACACCACCCCCCCACAAAAAAAAAAAAGAAAAGGCCTTTTGTGCCATCTGCACTATTTATTTATCCTAGTTCATCTTTCTTATTGAAGCACTCCATGTCAAAGTGAAAACATGATAATTTTGGTCATTTTGTAAACAAAATGCAGGAAAAGGGGAGGTCGTAAAGTGCTCAGCGAATCAGAATGAAGACCTCTTCCATAGTGTCCTTGGAGGACTCGGACAATTTGGTATCATCACCCAAGCTAGAATATCTCTGGAACCGGCACCTGACAAGGTAAACACACAAACACACACACACCCATGTACCTGTACCTACATAACACGGCATACTTGTTTACACTATATGCCCCCATTGAGGATTAGATGTAAATATAAGATCACGAGCTCCTCGGATCGCAGATAAATCCAGACATACTCATACTTCAGACATATAATTGCAAGATCTAATGCAGTGGAGTTACAAAGTATTCTAATGTGGTCACCAATTTGAACAGGTGAAATGGATTCGGATGCTCTACTCAGATTTCAACACATTTACCAGAGATCAAGAGCATTTGATATCTTCAGAGAATACATTTGACTACATTGAAGGATTTGTGATAATTAACAGAACTGGCCTTCTAAATAACTGGAGGTCATCCTTTAGTCCACAAGACCCACTTCAAGCAAGCCAGTTTGAATCTGATGGACGAACTCTCTTCTGCCTTGAGGTGGCCAAGTACTTCAACCTGGGGCAGACAGATACAATAATTGAAGTAAGATATCGGAGTCAAGATTTAAATTTCATCCTGAACGTAAGAGCCATCATTAGTTGAAAAAAGAAGAAGATTTTAACAAGTTATTTTACATTTCAGGAGGTTGAGAGGCTATTATCTCCTTTGAATTATATCCCCTCAACGCTTTTCCTATCAGAAGTATCATACATAAATTTCTTGGACAGAGTTCACGTATCTGAGGTCAAACTCAGGTCAAAAGGTCTGTGGGAAGTTCCGCATCCTTGGCTTAATCTTCTCATACCCAGAAGCAAAATTCATCGATTTGCTGAAGAAGTCTTTGGCAATATTCTCACAGACACGAGCAATGGTCCCATTCTCATCTACCCAGTCAACAAATCAAAGTAATGGCGTGCAGAAATAATAGTTTAATCCTCCAAGTTTCAAGAAATTGCCAATCTAGACTGATAAATTTGTCAATTCATTGCAGGTGGGACAATAGGACTTCTGTAGTGATTCCTGAGGAAGATATTTTCTATTTGGTGGCATTCCTTTCCTCTGCAGTTCCTTCTTCCACGGGAACTGACGGCTTGGATCACATACTATATCAGAACAAAAGAATACTAAATTTTTGTGAATCAGCCCATCTAGGGGTGAAGAAGTATTTGCCGCACTATACTAGACAGGAAGACTGGAAGGCGCACTTTGGCCCACGCTGGGAAGCTCTTGTAAGGAGAAAATCTGCATATGACCCCTTGAGAATACTTGCACCTGGCCAAAGAATATTTCAGAAGGCAGTGCCCTTCTCATGATACTCACTTTTTCAATTTCTCAAGGTCCTTTAGAGAAGCAAAGCAAAAGAGGAAGACCCTTGCCAAAGTAGAGGGGGAATGCCTACTATAAAGTGTTGATTATACTATTTATTCTAATTCCTTGTATCTTCTCATATATTATAAGTAACGAGGAGGAGAAGCCTGTGTTAAATATGTTTAAGAAATAAAAATGCTTGCTTAACTATGAAAAGGTAGAGAGAAAAAAAAAATAACATGCCCCAAACCCCTTAGAAATGATGTATATGACAAATCAACACGAAAGCAAATCGTGATAACTTAAGACATGTTGACTATAAATGGAAAGGAAGGCCATTCTGGCCTAAAAATTAAAAAGGTAGGCCACTGATATACCCTTTACTAACGAGAGATATAATGAGTGGCATCTCAAACAGAAATACCTTTGTGCCGGATAAAGGCCAAGTACAATTGCACCAGCAAGTGTTGGTGTGTGTGTGTGTGTGTGTGAGAGAGAGAGAGAGAGAGAGAGAGAGATGAATTATTTCCCATCTGCAAAAATGAACAATCAATCGCTCATGCAGCATACACTAATGCAATTCGTCTCCAAAAAAATTTCAGTGCTCACAACATGGATGGTATGGACAGATACTAGAAGTTGATCTCCTGCATGACTTTCTTCTACATTCTGAATAATTACATCCATAAAAGCTTTCGGACAAGTAACAATATGTTTTTTTTTTGGTAAGTAACAAGTAACAATATGTTAACGAGTGATAATTGCTATTATCAACAACATTGAAAGTTTCAAATATATCATTTCCCTGATTATAGGAGCATCTTCGAGACGAGCACTCTGTATGCAGGGGAACCGCAGCAATAAATATTGTTTAAATGCACGGTGAAGTATGAGACTGGGAGGAGCTCCACATCAGATAATTAAAGTTTAAATGGATAGCTAATTAAATAAGATTGCTCATTGATCGAACTCTAGGTTCCCGCTAGCGATCTCCCGTTATGAGGTGCAGACTTTTGTCACTGAGTCCTATAGGTCACATTAAAGCCACTAATCTGAGTAAAGCCCCGGTAACGATGGGCATTTAAGAATATCTCAGCGAAAATCTCGTGCAACATCACTTCGCTGAGTGAGTTTGCCATCAAGCCCATCACAGTTCAGTGTAGAGGAACAGAACATACGTGAGTGAAGGTGTATGTATTGAGACATCAGCAAACTCTAAATTTGGTGTATCCCTTGATGTGCCACACAACCGTGGGAACAAACAATTTAACTATAGGATACATTCATTCGATATTAGCCCTGGTAATGGGTGGATGTTGTCCTCGAGTCACACAAAACCGAAGGGCGAGATGTCTACCCAATGAAGGAACGGAGCTTCAAATGCTGCACGTACAGTTCATTGAAACATTAGAAGAAGAAAAAAGTGGAACCATGATTGTTATTTTCCAATATCTGTTTAATCAATGAACTTGCTAGCTTTGTTACAATTGCACTGGAAAGAAGACAGACTCCCATGTTTGACCTCCATCATCACCAACTAAAAGCAGAATCAGCAGACAAATTACGCATCAGCATTTAGTATTTATCCAAAATTACATAGTAAGGACTTCAGAGCAAAACCTTTTCTCTAAAATTCAACTCGATTATCAATGAGTTTTTTGTGCTTTCTTGTATCACCAACAATCATGTACCGTATTTTCTGCTTTATGCAACAATGTTACCCTAATGAACATTTAGAACTTGTATCCATCCAACAATGTCAAAAGATAACATCTTTTGAGCTAGACAAAAAGGAGATTTAAAAGAGTGAGAAGATCTTTTCCACTCAAAATATTCTGGAATCTGTTTCTCGGGATGACTGGGGCCATGTTAGTCAATGGTGCTCAGAATCCATGTTTCTGCTGACTCACTGCCCAGTCTGCACTTGTAGATATGTTCAAGTTGATGTGGACGGACCCCAGGGACCACCTTACTGAACCTAAAATGTAGTGGCTCAAAAATTTCCCTCTACTTTTCAGACCATTGGAACTGCCAAAGACACTTGGCAGATCAAGGCATCGCCTACTAATGTGACGGCCCAACTGCCAATTGAAAGGGAATATTCGCTTGAAAAGAACCTATTGCACTATACAGGGTATGCATGTAAAGACTTGAAAAATCTCAAGGAAACTATCAACCATTTATTCTAGTCATGCTGCCAATGATTCGACAACACGAACAAGTGGCATTAGAATGCTTCTGTGACGTTCTAACCACAAGACAGGTGTTTTCTTAACCAACATCAAAGTTGCTCGCTGAGGTTCCTCTTTGGGAATACTACAATGTTACACAGTTCCAACTCCGTAGTCAACCAAAAAAGCAAGTGACACAGAAACCTACATTATTCCCGTTCTCCTAGAACCAGAGCCTGCATTGACCAGGGAACGGAATGCAGCTGTCTCCTTAGAACTTGCAAAACTAGATGCCGCTTTCCTGGTGACAAGGCGGATCTTTCTGAAAGATTAGATACCAGAATTACCGATTTTACGCACCCATCAATTCCACATCCATCAATCACGGATGTCTTCTTCAACTTAGTTACTGTTATCCACAGGGATTCTCAAGGGTCCCGTAAAGATAACCCTTTTTCCAGTGGAGATTTCTTCGAAAAGTTCTTTAACTCAACAAGGGGAATTTCAAGAAAATGGCATACTCTGCGCCCATGAACAGACAGCCATAGAAATCCAGCGCTCCCACATTGCCACTTCACCGGGTCTCTTATCAATTCAAGTTATATCCAACTCCTGCCCACATATCCAAGAAGACCCACGTTAGTCTCGTAAGCATTTAAGCAAACACCTTGTCCGCGTGCAAGAAAATGATTCTGCTCACCCACGAGACAGCAAAACACCAGCAAGTGAACAGATTTCCTCCCTCATTCCGCATCGAAAACCCAAGCGAACTTGTCGAGAATCACACGTAAACAAGCGTTGAAAGCATCCATCGGATGTGTCAGAGGGTGCTGTCGGTGTTGCAGTGTTACATGGGACGCCGACGAAGCTGATGCGCGGGAGTTTCAACAGAAACATCTAACGGTGTGATCACGTGGCGGTTCTTGTCCCGATCCCATAGCCTTAATTAAAGAAGGGGATAAAATTTTTAAAATGCGTCGTTACCAAAAATTGCAATAATTCTTTAAAGATTACGATAATATTATTTTACATTAACATTAATGAAAAATTACTAATCACAGATAAAAAATTACCAAAAAGACATGTTCATAATCAAGATAAAACCCGTCGCTTGGGGGAAATTATAATATTTTTACATAATAAATCAAATACTAGTCACGTATAAATGTTACTGACAAGAATTTTGTGTTCACAATTGAGATAAAGTTTGCAACTTTAATTATAAATCGGTGCCGTTTTTCGTTTTCAACCTCACAACATGAAACCAAACTTTTTTTCTTTTTTTTTTATAGAAAAAGTTACCATCGAAGAAATTATTAATGACGTAAAAGAAGGATTTGTATCTTCTTATTTTAAATTGTGGCCTTTGATTTATTTGACGAACGAAAGGTAAAATTCCTGTCGAATTTTGCTGTCAAGGAAGCTAGCTCATCAGCATTGCCAGCTATGCATGAATTTCGCCATCCGGGGATGTCTGTCTCTCCGTCGGAATGGAATTTGGAACGAGCGAAATTCGGTACAAACCAACATGGGCCAGCTCTGTTTTCCTTTCCGATGTTGTTCGAGTACGAGGAATCCGATGAACATGAGCTAGGCCGTGATGCAAAGGAACCGTCTTTTTGCAATTTTGCGGATGAAATTTTAAGCAGAGCCTGAGGAAATTTTGAATCGCCCATGGTTGTGAATGAAGAAAGCACGAAACTTTCGGCATTGGTTGCGTAGGGTGCGAATGGTAACCATTCTGCTCCAGAAATCAAATTCTTGCCATAAATTGATTTACGGAATTCTTGCGAGAAATTGATTTATGGAGGAGAAATGCATTTGGTAAAACATGACTAATTCTCGCTCAGGAAATGTTTTGATTTGTTGATTTTTTTTGCACCTAAAAAAATTTAAATTTTACTCAAAGTGGGTGGCCACATGTATTATAAGCCATTCTGTAAAGTTTTGAAATTTTTGATTTTTTTTAAATTTTTTTTGGGCACCTAAAAAATTTTAAATTTCACTCAAAGTCGGTGGTCACAGGTATTCTAAGCCATTTTGTGCAGTTTTGAATTTTTTTATTTTTTTTTTTTGTGCACCTCAAAAAATTTAAATTTTACTCAAAGTGGGTGGCTACAGATATTCTAAGCCATTCTGTGAAGTTTTGAAATTTTTTATTTTTTTTTATTTTTTTGGGCACCTAAAAAAATTTAAATTTCACTTAAAGTGGGTGACCACAGGTATTTTAAGCCATTTTGTGAAGTTTTGAAAATTTTTATTATTTTATTATTTTTATTTTTTTTGGGCACCTCAAAAAATTTAAATTTCACTAAAAGTAGGTGACCACAGGTATTTTAAGTCATTTTGTGAAGTTTTGAAATTTTTGATTTTTTTTTGCACCTAAAAAAATTTAAATTTCACTCAAAGTGGGTGGCCACATGTGTTTTAAGCTATTCTGTGAAGTTTTGAAATTTTTGATTTTTTTTATTTTTAAAAAAAAATTCACCAAATTTCGTATTTTCCCTAAATCTGACTTTTTTTATTTTCTGAAAAATTTTATGAATTTTTCTAGAATTTTTCAATTTTTATGCATTTTCTGAAAAAAAAAAATTGTGAGAAAATAGAGAGAATGCATTCCGGAATCAAAAAGCTACAAAAAGTAGCTTCTCTTTTCTCGCCAAAACTCATTCGAATCAAAATGCATTCGGAATCAAGAACGCATTCGGAATCAAGTATTTTTAACAAATCCATTTTTATTCCGTAATGCAAAAATCGCTCCAGAATGCATTCCGGAAATTTTTTAACAAACGCCGTTCTGTTCCGGAATGCATTCCATGCGCACCCGTAGTATGTTCAGCCGTGCACGCAAGGGTGGCTCTCTGCGTTGCGTCGGAGGCGCTTGGCGAAGAAGCTGCTTCTTCACTTCAATCCCCGTAAGAAACAAGAAACGCCAACTAATGGGTTATTTCTTTTGCCTTCTTTCGTTTTCTGTTTTGGGTTAAAGATCGCGTTTTTAATCGGGAGAATCGCCATAGCCTTCATTTCTAGTTTTCGGACACGAAGCGAAAACGGTGGGACTCGAGAGAGAATTACGTGAGACACGCGTGTACGGAAGTGGGTTTTGTTGACGGTGAAAACGGGGTGGAAGGACGAAGCTTTCTTTTTCTTTTTCCTTTCCCCCTTCGTTCTCTTCGCCGAGTTCTCCCCCCCCGTTGCGAATTCAATTCAGCTCTCTGTTGCATCTTTTGGATGGCACGAGCAGATGCGGACAAAGAGCACTCGAGATCGACGTGCCCCGCGTTGAATAATCCGCCGAATTGAAAGTCGAGTGCATCTCTTTCCCACTTTTCGATCTTTGTTTGTCCTTGTTCCTTGAACAGTTTGGTTTGATGGGGTTGATATAAAGGAAGACGACGAACACCGTGTTTTCAAAGTTGGGTCTTGGTTTTTGCATGTTTTTGACTAATCTTCCACGCGGTTCTTGAAATCATAAACCCTGTCAAGGCGAAACCTGTGTTCAATTCAACCTGTGTAGTTGCCTAGGAACGGGGTGTTCAATTCAACCTGTGTTCTTTATCTGCCCTGAGCGTTGAGCTAAACTTAGTGAATAGAGAGGAAGAGATGGGGGAGACCTCTGAAGAGATGACTAATAATGTTTACTCAAATGGGTCGATTCAGAGTATTAATGGGTCTCTCGAAGAGAAGCTGGATGAGCTCCGTTGCCTCATGGGAAAATCAGACGGTGATCCGCTCAGGATTGTTGGCGTCGGAGCTGGTGCTTGGGGCAGTGTTTTTACTGCTATGTTGCAAGATACTTATGGTCACTTGAGGGAGAAAGTTCTGATTCGTATTTGGAGGAGGCCCGGAAGATCAATCGATAAAGCCACGGCCGAGCATTTGTTCGAAGTGATCAATTCGAGGGAGGATGTGTTGAGGCGGCTCATTAGGAGGTGCGCATACTTGAAGTATGTTGAGGCGAGATTAGGTGACAGGACATTGTTTGCGGACGAGATTTTGAAAGACGGGTTCTGCTTGAACATGATCGACACCCCTCTTTGCCCTATGAAGGTCGTCACCAGTTTGCAGGAGGCTGTGTGGGATGCCGACATCGTAGTGAATGGGTTGCCATCAACAGAGACCCGCCAGGTGTTTGAGGAAATTAGTAGGTATTGGAAAGAAAGGATTACAATGCCTGTTATCATATCCTTGGCAAAGGGTGTGGAGGCAGAGTTGGAGACTGAGCCCCGTGTGATTACTCCCACCCAAATGATTAATCGAGCAAGTAAGCCCTTCTCCTTTCCAGTTTCTTGACCAACTAGACATTGCTGTCTGTTGCACGGTAGGCCTAGTATCCATTTTCTCAGACTAACATACTTCGGCTGTTGTATTTCTGTTGTATTAACGAAGTAACTCCATTTATGGTATGGGTGATAAAATCAAAATACTTGTCCGATTAGGATGATTCACAATGCAAGTGCTACAGCACCCCCTTCTTGATAACTGGTCTTTCTTTGTTCCGCCCGTTACACTTGTTAAAGGTTAAGGCAGAGAGCTTCTCCGCTTGTAAACTATGTGAAGTTGGTTTTATTGGGATCTGGCATTCATGTTTCAGCTGAAACAGGCTATTAAAGATTCTCTGTTGGTGTTCGTTTTGTTTCTCATTTGCTTATTGAGGAGCACATTGTTTAATGAAATATCGCATTGAAGATATGAATGCTGGTTTTGCCTCTGGCCATTTGAAAATATCCAATCCCATTTCTTCACATGGCATAATCTGCTTTTGAAGAAACGAATAATATTAGCATTTTCGAGGATCCGTTCCTGTTCCTTGCGATGCTTCGGCTCACAGAACTTCAAATTTCCGTTTCCACTTTTGATACTCTTTTAACTGGCCAAATGGGCAAAAAGAAGCAGCCTGCTTAACATGGAGAAAGCTCTCCTTGCAAAAAGAATTATCTGGAGAAGTCTGACACTACTTTTTTCTGTCCCGGTTCCTCTTGTCCTTGTCTTTGAATGGTGGACAACTATCTTCTCAAGGGTACTATCTTCTCAATATTGTCTCTATCATGGTTCTTGCAGCTGGAGTGCCACTAGAGAACATTTTATACCTCGGAGGACCAAATATTGCCTCAGAGATATACAACAAGGAATATGCCAATGCTCGAATATGTGGATCTGCAAAGTGGAGGAAGCCTTTGGCAAAGTTTTTGAGGCAGACCCACTTTATAGTGTGGGACAATGGAGACCTTGTTACTCATGAAGTTATGGGTGGTTTAAAGAATGTTTATGCCATTGGAGCAGGTAAAATTGTTTGCTTGGCACTTTTACTCTTAGGCTTGGGAAAAATGTGGTTCTGCCGAAATGCCCTTTTCTCCTAACAAATCATCGATAGTTCATTCCTCCACTTTTGTTTAGGAGCCTTAGTATACTAGGTTTGAAGTTTTGACAAGCTATACAATTTGCAATTGCACCTCTTACAGCTCCTCTCAACTTGAACTTCGCAGGTATGATTGCAGCTCTGACAAAGGAAAGTGCCACCAGCAAAGCAGTATATTTTGCACATTGTACGTCAGAGATGATATTCATCACACATCTGTTGGCAGAGGAACCTGAGAAACTTGCTGGGCCTTTATTGGCAGACACATACGTAACTCTGTTGAAGGGTCGTAATGCATGGTATGGACAAAAGTTAGCTTGTGGGGAGCTGAAACTTGAGATGGGTGATAATATCAAGGGGAAGGGGATGATTCAGGTATTCAATCTCAATCATCTTTAGGTGCTGTTGATAGAAACTTTTGAATTTGAGATTCTGTAAATATGAGAACTTTTACTTCAGAATTTGGTGGATGTCTTTGAATGGAAAGAGCTAGTCAAAAAAGTGTCTTCCAATCATCATGTCTTCAGGGTAGATCTATACCACGTGTCACCATTTTCAATTCCTAATTAGATGGACATATAACCAAATAAAATAGTATATGCATATCTTATTCAAAGTACTGGATAGTCCAGTGCTTTTGGGTGATGAATCTTGGAATTGAGAGGGCTCCAGGAAGAATTCTTTGTCCACTGTTACATTTCTTAGTACAATACTTTGCTTTATCGATAGGGAAGGCACGTGTTCTAAATTACTATGTGATGCAATTGCTCTGCCTTGTTTTTGTGATTGTAGGGAGTCTCGGCCGTGAAAGCCTTTTACGAGCTGCTGAGTGAGCCATGCTTAAGTGTGCTGCATCCCGAAGAAAAGAAACCAGTTGCTCCTGTGGAGCTGTGCCCAATCTTGAAGAAGCTATACAAAATTCTTATTCTGAGGTAATAAAAGCTCCTATATTTCGTGCCTCTTCTGGGTCCCTTTTCTCTTTCGTTGTATCAGAGAAATTGAAGGCAGTATACCCAAGTGAATTGATGGATCTGTGTCTCTCGTGGGCTTGATAGCCACTCTCTGTGAATCGTTTGCGCAAATATTTGAAGATGACCGGACCGTATGCGTGCGTATTATATCTCATGAGAATGGATGAGTTGTAGCAAAGATGTTGATTTCCATCTATGAGCAAGCCCTTTGGTGGTAATGTGTCTAAATGTGCGGTCCAGTGAACCAGATAGACTAGGGTTTAGGATTCCGTTGAAACTTTGCTTTGTACCTTTGATATATCATTGATGATGTGGGAGTACAGAGCAAAATGTGATATTATCACTTTGTTTGCAGGGAGTTCCCACCAGAAGCTATTCTTCAAGCATTGAGGGATGAATCCATGAACGATCCTCGAGATCGCATCGAGATAGCTCAAAGCCATGCATTCTACAGGCCATCGCTTCTCGGGCAACAGCCTTGATAAGATGCACTTCCATCTGCATGCAGTTGCAGCCATTTTTGGTACTGGACTGAATATCAATGGGAATTAGATGGTCCCTCGTCGCTTGTAATTTTCTAAAATGGTGGTCGTTGGGAATGTGTTGTGTGTCAACTGGGATCTGTTACCTTTGTACTAATCCATCTCTAAATGGGTGATTAGCATGTTGTGATGCATCTATGCCTGTTAGAGTAAGGCTTGTTTGGAGGGAGTTAAGAAAATGGCCCGGTTGGCAAGGTAGGTTAGGAATTGTACGGTCATTATCAACTTTCTTAGATTGAAGTTTTTGATTAAAGAGTGGAAGCAAATTGAAAAGTCACCAGAGCATTTTGCATATTCGTATCGAACCGCTGAAAATTTTAACAATGATCTGAATGACCCGCGCCACAAGATCTATGTATCCGATTTTCGCCGGCTCCAGCAGTGCTTGACGTGCGAACCAGAACTATTTTCCATACGATGACAAACGAACTTCAAAGTCGGTTCCAATTTTCACAAAATTAGAGTTGTTGTGATATATAGATGGTTTGGAGAGTGGCAAGCAACTATGCTCCAAACTCCCTCTATATAGGCCAATTCATTCGGCTATCTTTCACCATAGATACAGAATCTGATACTTTCTAGTAAGATTGATACGTTCACAAACGGAGAAATCTTCTTTAATTATCATATATCAAGAAATAGTACGGTTGGTTTTTTGCTGAAAACCACGAACTTTCATAAAGTTTGTTCCTTGAACGAACGTCTGCATTATTTTCTTTTGTTAATTTAGCTCGAAAGCATTCCTTTTGCTGGGTTTTCGGCTTCCTCCTCCTTCCCGTGCGCTCCGCCGACATGGGACGGGTCGAATAACAGGCGCCCCATCATCCCCCCACAACCCCACCACGCAGACGCAGACACAGACACAGACACAGACAGAGAGAAGAGAGAGAGAGAGAGAGAGAGAGAGAGATGTCTCTGGTGGACTACGATGCTTCTTCCGACGAAGACGTTTCCGACGTTGAAGACAACGAAGAACAAGGAGAAGTAGAGGGAACGGGAAAGGACCCAGAAGCCCCAAGACCCCAACTTGCTCAACCCCAGCCTTCTCCTCCACCTCTTCCTCAGACCCGGTAAGTTTCCTGATTCTAAAGAAACGAACTTGGATCTGAAAGACCGCGTTTTTCCCTCGTTCATCTTGGTAGATTTACTTCCAACATTTCGGACGCGTATTCCCTCTTCTTCCCCAGCTCAATGCGAGCTTCATCCAAACTACCCAACACTTGGCGATTGTGAATCCTGCATTTTAGCAATTAGCGGTATAGCCAGTGTCGACGATGGCGTCCGTTCTCTTGGTCTAGTGTTTTGTATCCTGATTGTATAGTGTCTGACACATGAGGCATGGCAACTGTGCCCTAGATCCTCGGCTCGGATAGAATTAGTTAGGTGGGTGTTCCGGTTGATGGTTGTTCATAGCTTCTATTGACAACTCGTCTGATAAACGCGCCCTAGTATTGCTCTGCCATAATCAAGGTGATGAGCCTCAAGTTCTGTCTTTTTGTTTTCTTTTCAATTCTTGGACCTTGGGAGATTTGACGCGAACTAATCGAATGTTGTCGCTCGACTTTGGCTATTTTGTTAGCTGGTTCTTGTATCAAACTTCATTTGATTTTGCTTTGTGCTCCAACATGTCAATGATTCAGTCTTTTCCTTCTGTGGTGATTATGATCGAGCAAATACCATTCTCGTAATTGAAGGTGCAAACTTCCTCCTCTTCCCTACACAGGGTTTCCACTTTGAAAATTAAATAAAAGGTGGTAACTTCGGGGAACTGGTGAAGAATAGGTCATACGTCATGATTTGTAATGTAAGGACATTGTGCACCATGGCTGGAGAGGGTGATCTTGCCCATGGATTGCATGTCTTGGTTTCTTCAATTTGGAAGTTGATGCACTTAAAATACATCTTTATAATCTGAGAAGTTGCTCTAAAAGAGAAGATTACATTGCTTTAGAGGTCGATGCAGAAGGAGACACTCTGTAAGTGGTTCCATTCAAGAGTAAAAGTTTAAGAATTTGCAGCCGATAGGAGAATAATTGTCTGATCCCACTGTCGATTTGGCAAATATGCTTTTCTATTTCTTAACAATGGTGAGTTGTTTTATCCCCTTTGTTTAGAAGTTATGCTCACTGCCTTAGCCTATTTGATTTGACTGATTGTTGGCATCAAAGATTTGTGTCACTTGTATGGTGAGGATCTTGGGCTAATTACTTTATGGGTGGGTAATTACAAGTATATGAAGCTCAATGAAATGTCTCAAAAAGGTTGATGGTAGTGAGGGAAAAAGAATGAGAGAGAGAGAGAGAGAGAGAGAGAGAGAGAGACGCTTAGTTTCCGTACTTTAAGTAAGTTTCCTATTACTAGCTAGATGAACATGAGAGATTGGCTATACTAAAAGGGCAAAATTGGAATAGTTATCCACTTTATCCATTTTCAGTTAGTATGGTCTATAGGTAGGACTTTTTTTCCTAGTGATCTTAGTATGGTCTATAGGTAGGACTTTTTTTCCTAGTGATCTGTAAGAGATTTGGTATATGTTTTTTTTGTGATCTGCCACAACTTTACAATTGTTGCTGTATATGACGAGGTTTGAGTGTTCTCGGTTTGTAATCTTCACTTGTCTTGTGTATAGGGGATCATCATATGCATCAGACCATCAGCTAGAAACCACTGCAGGTATACCAGCGCCCCCTGTTGAGAAGCTTCCTGATGCTTCCCTTTTGTTGGATGGTCCAGCTGGATTGGCTTCTCCGTTGAGTGGTGATGACCATGCTTCTAGAGTTGCAGCAGCAAGGGCTGAAAGTGCTCTGCGAAAGAGAGAGTCTCATTCGCTATCTTCATCTGTTCCCCGCAACAAAGTGCCAAGGGGAACATTACCCAATTTGAAGAATGTTCCAGATACTGTTGGTGGACTACTGGTTCCTCCTCAGCTTAGTGGAAGGTTAGTTCGTACTAGACTTTGAGTCTTTGACATCTACATTACATTGTGTCTTTTGCTCAGCAATTAAGATTTTTTCGTTCTTGTCAAAAAAGTGCTTTTTTTCCTATTTTTTCTACTTTCCCTCTAAAAATGTGAAGGCAGGAAAAAGGATATTATAGGTTTAGAAAGTCATGAAAAAATTATTTATGATTCTACATGTGAATTTTTGTATATTTTGTTAGATCTACGGTGTTTTTCGTTAAAGAAAAGTAAAATTGTAGAGCTGCAGAATTTGGAAAAAAATTAGTCAAAAAGATCACTGGAAAGTAACTCTGAAATTGAAGAGATGATTATATTAATATTCCAGACAAATTACTAATACAGGCGTGTACATACACAAGCAGTTTTATAGAACAAAACCTGAACAAGAACACAAACACCAACTGAGTTGAATCAGTGTCGACTGAGTCAACTCGGACACCTTGATACAAGTACCAATATGTATGCAAGTACCCTAACATGAGTGTGTGCAATATGACAGACATGCAATTTGTCTGCGGGACTTCTTAGATCAACCTCTGAATAAACTTCCACAATCTGTCTCCCCGGAGTTAGATCGACCTCTGGCCCAACATTAGAGGTTTAGAACCGTGACTTAGAATTTGGATGGTTATTGATGCTGGACCTTCATAAGTTTAGGCTGCGCATGGCAACCATTCTGTGCCCAGAATCTGATTCTGGGCAGAAATGATTCTTTTTTATTTTGTGCCCAGAAACAATTTCTAAGCATTTGAAGGCGCTTGGTAATTGCCAAAAATTTTTGTTCTTAGGATAGAAAAAGAACAAAAATGCGTTTGGTAACTACACAAAATTTCTTTTTATTAATAATATTTTAATAATATTTTGAATTTTTTAATATTTATTTCTTTTTTTATCTTTTTTTTTTCTTTCCCCTTCCTTTCTTGGCCATGGCTGGCCGCCGGCGCCAGCGACCGGCCACAGGCCAGGGCCGGCGAGGGCATTGCGGCCCTCGCCGCCGGCCTTGCTGGTGGCGACGGCGAGGTCGGCCTCGCCTTGGCTGGGCGAGGCCGCGAACTGCCCTTGCCGGCCACCGGGGAGGGCCGAGACGCCCTCACCGGCGGCCGGCGGGTGGCGGGGCTGAAGAAGAAGAACAACCAAAAAAAAGAAAAAAACCAAGAAGAATCAGTTCTGAAAAAATTGTTCCAGAATCAAGAAGCTACTTTTTTTTTATTCTTGATTCTGTTCCAAAACTGATTCTGGGCACAATTTTTTGCAAAATTGTGCCCGGGCACAAAAAATTTAACAAACGGATTTCTGTTCCCAAACTGATTCTGGGAACAAAAGAACAGAATCAATTACTATTTGGCAAGTTGCCAAACAGGCCCTTAATCTTCCGCGGTGATTTAAAGACAATACTTTCATCTTGTAACTAATTGGGAGTTTTAGTGATCAGTTTCTCAAACTTTGTTTTGTGTGGATGCAAGAAAGTATTTAGACTGATGAGTTGGTGCTTGTTTTTTTTGCCCAGGAGCAATGTTGTCACTGAAGATATTAGCAAGTTATTTGTAAAGGGAAATGCAGAGAAACCATCTCATTAGGGAACTTACAAACAGGTTGTAGTTTATTCTCCGTAACCTTATCACACCTCTCTCATTAAATCCATGAATAAGTATACTTTCTTGAGGGTCTGGCATGTACAGAATCGCGAGCAATGTTGTATGAGAATGAACCAATGAGAGATTAATGAACCTGACAGGATGATTCAAGGGATTGCGTTCAAACAGAAAATTTTGTATGTGTTGGAGTATGGATATTGCAGGAGGAAACTATTTGGCAGATCCATTCTGTTAGTTTAATGGTGCACATGCAAGGGATGGTCCATTACTTTGGTACGATTCCGGCATTGATAAGTTGAATCTACCTTGTTGATGGAGGATAAATGTGTTGCCGAAGTCACATCCATTTGCAAGATGAGTTAGCATGATAAGGGGTGAAATGTTCGCCGACAACAAAAGATTAAAGGGGATAAAATCGAGGTCAAATCCTTGATCAGAGTAATTGATCTCATACTATTGTGACCCTGCTTCGCTCTTTATTATTCTGGAGGTATGCGTGTTCAGCCAAGAAAGGGAAATATTCTGTCGATATGACGTGTTGTTCCGTGGCCCAGATATGATTTCATAGACGACCAACCAAGCCAACAAAATTTAGATGACCCTTGAGCAATTCTTTATCGGTATTGCATCTTCCTCCTGCATAAGTTTTCACACCATGCATTGGATGTAGACCCAAGAGAGCCTCATTTCATTGAATCAAAAATCGGTAGACTAGCCACACCAAGCGCTCTCTTACCAACCCATCATTGTATAGAATCGTAAGCCACCATAACTCTCACTCCAAACATATTTTATTGAGCCGGGGACAAACATGTCTTTCATCAGATTGTGTACATGATTTATCTTCTTTATTACAGCAAAACTCTTCTGGGCCATCATCGCCCCCAACATTGAAACCCCCCTAATCACGAAGAACTTTCTTTCCTCAAACGAAAAAAGCAGCCTCCGTCAATCAAGAAAGTTAAACTTGGTCACACTTTTGAAAACTTCCACTAAAGTTTGAAATGAATCACTCCCTCACATAAAATAAAGTTAAAAACAGCAAAACAATGATAGATTGGGCATTTGCATGTCTCTGTCTTTACTTTGCCAGCCTGTCTCTACCGTCTTTCCGTACTTTAATTTTTTTTTTTCCTTTGGCAATGAACCTTTTTTGTGCCACTATCCAATTTCTCAGCTATCAATGATAAAGGACTACCCCCGGCAGGGGAAATTTGCAGGCCAGTCCCCTTACTTTAATTAGGTACGTGATCTATCTAAGATTAAGACAAGATTAGATTATAGCTAAATTTTTAGCCTTTTTTGGGTTCAAGGAGGGGGAAAGAAGTGTCGAGAGGGAGTGGGGGATAAAATAGAAAAGGAGTGAGAAAACAAGAGGGAATCACAAGCTTCACTGACTGTCGCACACACTCACGAGTTTTGTTAACAGACCCAGAAAAGATTCCTGCAACAACACACCGTGCACTTTTGCCATACGTGTGGCATCAACATCTACTTTTAGATCTGTGCACGTCCTTTCCTCTTATTCAAGAACCCCATTAAAAGATTATGCAGCAGAGAGAGAGAGAGAGTTGCAGCATCTCTCACATGGGGTGTGTTGTTGGTGGTGTGTGAGAGAGACCCTACACACCCTGGCATCAATTATACTTAATATTTTAAGGAGCAAGGGGGACCCACCGTGAATGTGTCAGTACCCCCATGTGAGATCACTGTGACACACTGGGTTCTGTGGGGCCCATTCCCTCCATGAATGGCACGATGAAAGGCCTGTTCTGTTGACCCCACCACCCACATACATTTGCATATGTTATCATGTCACTCACACCTAAAGATATCATATATGGGCAAAATAATAATAAAGAGACAAACTTTTCTAAATTTAAAGGCAACACACCCACCCAAGAGAGACAGGATACAGAGAGAGAGACAGAGAGAGAGACAGAGAGCTCAGCCCTTTCTTAAAATTGAGAAACTGATTTCTTTCTTTTTGGTTGCTGATCTTTCACTAGTTCCTTCTCTGTCTGTCTGATCCACATGAGTAGTTGAACACAAACTGTTGTATAATAAACAGCTACAGTAAACATCAAACATTAATAATCAACCTTACAAATTTGTACCTGAAAACTCAGCTGACTGACTAAAACTCTATTAATCTCTGCCTCTCCCATCATCCTCTCCTCCCCTTCAAATCTATCCCCTCCTTTTCATTTCCAAATTACCATTTATGGGATGAAAAATCTGCCCTTGTAGTCACTTCTTGCCTTTTTGGCCACTCCCCGGTTCTTTGAATTCTCCGATTCTTCTTGCTGTACAAAGATTTGATCTTTCTTGTACCCTAACAACACAAACTAATAGAAGACTCTGTTGCTAATTATGGACTCTGCCACCCTCCCAAAGGAGGGGACGTAGTAAAAACTTGAAAATGGGAAGAAGAGATTTGCAGCTCTGTGAGTTTTAAAATACTACACATAGACTGTAAAATTCTCCTGGTGGTCCAAATTGCAACTAGAAAAAACATGTGAAAATAGCACAAACAAAGGAGATTGGGGTATCCCACTTCATTTAGTCATTTTTTACGTATGCATTTTTGTATGGTATCCAGTAGTATACTATGGATAATTGAGGTAGTGGTGGTGGTGATGGTAGTGGTACTAATTCTCTACAGATCTGCTCTTGATAAAGGTTTGTTTGGTTATTGTTGTTAATCTTCCTGCAATTGTTCAGACAGAGCAGAAAAGAAACAACCATGCTCAGTGAAAAGTGGCCACTCAAAAAGCCTAACAATAAAAGGCAGATCAAAGGAAAAATTACCTCAGTCAAGGAAGAGCTAGCTATATACCCACCGGGCACGTCGGCCCTCCGGCACCGGCATACATTCCTATGGCTCCATGACCAGAGGAAAATCTGAGAAGTTTGGAGGACAAATTACTGTCCTTGCTTTCTAAAAGCATATTAATTCTGATCTGTTCTTTTCAGTATGTAAGCTTTAGATTATGCAATCTTGGGATAAAATCATACCTAGGAATCTGGCAGTTGAAAGATTTGAAAGATGCCATGTCCATGGCGGAGGTGCCCGGGATTAAGGGCGAAGAAACAGGGTTATTGCTGTTAGGAGGAGAAGATGAAGCCGAACCTGCACCGTCCTTTTCAGCCTCGCCGACTACATTGGTAAAGGAATAGATATACTCTGTGGAGGCTTTGGTAGAAGATGCGAAGGGACTGTCAGGAAGGTTATGCTCCAAACTGCATCATTTTACAAAAGTTTCTCTGAATTGGTCATAGTAAGAAAATGCACTAAAGCAGTGGTTAGAAACTCAAGCAAGCACGCTATTTGCTCAAGAAAAGTCAATTCATTTGTCAAAAGCAGAAGCATATTTGTTTTCCACATATACCTTTCAGCCAAGCCTCCATCTTCATTGTGGGAGTTTTCCTTGTCATTCCCATTGCTCTTCTCACTTCCAGTCAAATCTTTCCCAGCAGAGACAATCACAGACTGGTAGTTCAAGGGCTGACTGTCGGATAAGCCAGGGCTAGAGCCATTCTCTGCATCAAATAACGAAAGGAACTTAATATCAGTACTGCATTTGCCAAACGAAATCAACTGGGCAAAAATTGAATGAACATAGCCTAAGATGAACAGGTATACCTTCCGTGACGCCCAGGCTACGAACCGAAGGAATGTTAAGGAACGTTGGATTGTTGAACAAAGTGGGCGATTGAGTAGGAGATGGAATGGGTGAGCCAGTTGAGAGAGCCCTCTGATGATGATGCTTCTTGACATCCAGAAGCTGCAGATTCATCAACCGTTGACTCTGGAGTTCAAGGGCTTGTTGGAGATCAGCTTGCTCCTCGAATCTCCTCCTCCACAGCATGTCCTGAGAATTGTAAAACGTCCTCGCTCCTGCATTACAGATTAAAAAAAAAGGGAAGTTAAGAACAGCCCAAGACTCGTCTCACAATATAAAAAATCCCACTCATGTTAAAATTCTAACCGAGGTTGAGGTCAAACGGTCCCGCCCTCGAATCCAACCCGGTCGGAGTTCCACAAGGCGAAAAATCACCCCTTTCCACCAGTTGGGACTGCTTCCTGTAAAAACACCACAAAAGACTAAAACTTGAGCTCATTTCCTGTCATCAACTCAAGCAAACAATGGACAGGCAAATGTCAAAAGAACCAAACAGGAAAAGTGAGACAACGTGCCTGAACTTGTCTGGCACTTTCCCCTTCTCTTTGTAAGGCTTGACAAGAACCCTAGCATCACAAACAAAATGAGGGTTCCCTTTGGCCAAAATGAGCTTCACCGTTTCTGGGTAAACAAATGTAACAAAGCCAAACATCCTCTTCTGCTGGTAAGGAATTCTCACATCTTGCACCGGCCCAAAGTTGCTTCATACAACAGCCATATAAGACAATTGAACAGTCAAAACAAAGTTCTTGATCTGAAAAAGATCAGAAACCGGAAAAAGAAAAACCTCCAAATGAACTTGCTAGAGAAAAACATTACTCACCTGAAATAGTTGGAAACATCTTCCTCCTTGAAAGTACTGTCAGCTGGGAAAGTCAAGTAAATCTGCCTAGAAGCTGGGTTCACACAACCATTCACTGAAAAATCACTCCTTTCAAGCCTTGATCTGCCATACTTGTAGAATTCTTCACCCATCATCAGTGCAGCAGCAGCAGCAGCAGCAGCCCTGCCCACATATGTTCCTCAACATATCATATCATACAAATGAACATGAAAGAGACGTTGTGGATACATATGTTACGTCCCTTTAGGGACATGCATAGCGTACCTATGAGCATCATTTTGTTGGTGATGGAGAAGCAAATTCATGGACTTGGGAGAGTAAGGGAAAGTTGCAGAACCTATGAGCTGAGAAGCAGCAGCTAGTCTCTGCTGCTGAGCAGATTTGGACCTCAGAACAGCTTCATGGCACTGACCCATCATGTCCACCTTACTCGGGGAGCCGACAACCGCGGACGCACTGCCGTCCGGGCTGCCGACCACAGAAGCGGTATCACCAAGTCCACTACTGTGCAAGAACCTGCAGCTGATCCCATTCTTGCAGTACCCTCTTGCATAGTACAAGCATGGCCTCCACCCAGCTCCACAAGATGGGTCTTCTGAGGACCCCGAGCACACATCGCTGACCGAGCAGCTCCTCCGGTGCACCGAAGCGCCCCAGCCCGTGGCCGCTCCGCCGTACACGGCGGTGGGG